GGGGGGGGGGGGCGACATGCTGGCGGAGCTGCCGGTTGCGATAGTGAGCGCATTTTAGATCATTCGGCGCTCGCCGGCACTGGGCGAGGGAGGCTCTATTTCCTCCGGGGACTGCATTTTTCCCCATCCCTTCCCCCCCGGGGAGGTGGGGACGTGGGGGCAGGGGAGAGAGGAGGGGCGACGCTCTGTGCACCGACGCCCCGGGCGGAGTGACACTTTTTTCCCTTCCACGCTGCTGTCCGACCAATTCAGCAGGGCCTGGGACGCGCCCGGGCGGAGGCCAGGCTACGCCGTGTTGCTGGGCAGTTTCCTCTCGCCCCCCCCCCCCGGTCCTCGTGCCGGTGGGCGCGAAAATACGCGCCACAAAATGGCCAGGTATGGCGAGGTGCCAGCCCCGGAGGCCGGGCCTTTTAATGCGTGCGGCGCGGCCCCCTGGGGGGAAATGCTGCCCATCCTCGCGGCGGCCGATACACGCGCCCTCAAATGCGTTGGGGGCGACCCGGGGAGAATGGGTTGAATTTTCGGGACCCCCGGAACATCATTCCCAGGGAACGTGACGCATCATTAGGAATGTGCTCCTTTCCTAAATATCTGCACCAATGTGAGGGCCCATACTTCTAGCGGGTTCTCCCTGTGGAGGCTCCCTTTGGCTTAGTTCGTTTGTCCCTGTTGTCCCCTCCCCCCCCCCGCCCCGCCCGGCTTCTCGGGTGCCGAGGCATGCGCCCGGGCCGACTGGGAGCGGGGCCGGGAGGGTGAAGGCGGCTTGGAGGCGCGGGAGCGGAGGGTTGCACCGAGCGAGTCCAGGTGTGTGTGGGGAGGTGGGGCAAGCCACGGAGAGGCCGGCGTGAAGTGCTGCAGGGGGGACCCTGCGGCCTGGGCTTCGGCCTCGGGTGCAGGCCCCCGCACCGCTCGGCCACGACGGTGGGGAGGTATTTTTTTTGGCCAATGCGAATGCCAGTGCTTAAAGCCGGTCTTGGGCCTGCTCGACGCTGGCCAGCCCCCCCCCCCCCCCCCCCCCCGGCCCCTGAGCCGGGACTTGCCTGGCGGGCGGCTGCTCGGTTTTCCTGTCCCCTGTGCTTCGAGAAGGAGTCGCTGCGAGCGGCGGGCCGCGGGAGAGCCCGGGATTCTCGTTACTCCGTCTCCATTTGGAGGCGCATCGCCAAGCGACTATTCCGAGATCCCCACCGCGGGCTGGGAGGGGGCGGGGGGCGGGGGGCGGAGCGGACTTAGCTGGCTGTTCTCGGTCCTTGTGCCGTTTCCGCCCGGTGCCGTGAGTTCCAGGGCCCGCAATGCGCGCTGGTACCCTCTGGCATTCTCGGCCCTACTTTCCTGCTACGCGCCGTCGCGCCCCCACCCCCCCCCTCCCCCTCGCAGGGGCACTCAGCGCCCCGGCATAGTGATCTCCCGTATCTGGGGTCCTCTGTCTGGCCCGGCGTTTGGAGAGCCGGTCTCTTATCATCATCAGGGCCTGGGGCGGGATTTCGTGCATCTCGCTGAGCGTGGGTTCGCACACGCGCAGGAGCCGGCGTCTGAGCTTGAGGGCGCGTTCTCAGCGTGTCTCTTTCTCTTTCTCTCTCTGTGTGTTTGCGTTTGTGTGTGTGTGTAATGCGCATGCGTGGAGGGTGCGCGCGGTTCGGCAGATGCGCCCCCACCCACCGGCCCCGGCCCGGCCCGGCCCGGCCCGGTTCCGGCCCGACCGGAGCACCATTTTAGTGGTTGTTGATTGGGGGGCCCTTGGTCGCGCAGGCGCCGAGGCAGAGAAAGACCCAGCTGAGAGACGCTGCCATTTCCCCTTCCCCCTACCCTCTTCCCCCTCCCTCCCCCCCTCCCTCCCTGCCTCGCGCCCCGCTGTCTATCGGCCTTTTCTCCGCCTTTCCAGCCTCGCTCCCCTCCCTCCCTCCCACACCCACCAGCCATGACCTCCTCCACTGCCTCCCGCCCGGCCGCCGGCTCCAACTTCAAGGACAAGGAGAAGCCCAAGGATGTTCGCCACAGCAACATCGTCGCCGCCAAGGGTGCGCACACGTCGCCCCCCCGCTCCCCCCTCGGCGCCATCTCCGTTCGCACATGCATCGATCCTCCCTTCCCGGACCACGTCACTGACCTCCTGTCTGGCCTATTGAACCATGTGTCCCCTCGTCCACCCCCCCCCCGTCCCTTCCTCCCCCTTCCTCCACAGCTGTCGCTGATGCCGTTCGCACTTCGCTCGGCCCCCGCGGCATGGACAAGATGGTTCGTGCCGCTTCATGCGTCCTCTTCTTGTCCATATGTGTCTCCCTGGACTGTCACTCACCCTCCCCGTCCATCCCTTGTTCTTTTCTTTTCGCCCGTCCATGTGTGTCTCCACCATGCGCCCCGTCCACAGATTCAGAAGGCCGACTCCGAGGTCATTGTCACCAACGATGGCGCCACCATCCTCAAGTCCATGAACGTCCAGCACCCCGCCGCGCGCATGGTACGCCCCCCCTCCCTCCCCCTCCCCAGCCAGCCCCTCCCTCCGACACATCTGAGACAGCGTGGCACCGTCCTTTCGCTGCGCTCGTCATTGGCTCACCTTCCCTCTCTCTCTCCCCCCCTCGGCGTCTGGACCACAGTTTGCCGGCATGTCCCAGGCCCAGGATATCGAGGCCGGTGACGGTACCACCTCCGTGGTCGTCCTGGCTGGTAGCCTGCTGAACGCCTGCGAGTCTCTCCTGGAGAAGGGCATCAACCCCTCCCAGATCTCGGACGGCTTCCAGTATGCCTGTGAGAAGGCCGTCGAGGTCATCGAGGACATCTCCATCCCCGTCGACCTGGCCGACCGCGAGCAGCTCCTCAAGATTGCCACCACCTCCCTCAACTCCAAGGTCGTGTCCCAGTACTCCTCGGTCCTGGCTCCCATCGCCGTCGACGCGGTCCTCGGTGTGCGTATCTTCCTCGGCCCTCTATCGGCCTTCCCTCAGCCCCTCCCCCCTCCCCCTGCTCCTCTTGGGCCTCTCGCCGTCGCTGACCCGCCCCGACTCCCCCCCCCTGTTCCCGGCCCCTGGACTGGCGCAGATCACCGACCCGGAGAACCCCTCCAACGTGGACCTCACCGACATCCGCATCGTCCGCAAGGTCGGCGGCACCATCGATGACACCGAGCTCACCTCCGGCCTGCTGCTTCGCCAGAATGCCATCACCTCTGCCGGTGGCCCCACCCGCGTGGAGAAGGCCAAGATCGCCGTCTGCCAGTTCCAGATCTCCCCTCCCAAGTCCGACATGGACAGCCAGATCGTTGTCAACGACTACCGCCAGATGGATCGCATCCTCAAGGAGGAGCAGAACTACATTCTGAACATCTGCCGCAAGATCAAGAAGGCCGGCTGCAATGTGGTCCTCCTGCAGAAGTCCATCCTGCGTGATGCGGTCAATGACCTGGCCCTGCACTTCCTGGCCAAGCTCAAGGTCATGGTCATCAAGGACATCGAGCGCGATGAGGTGGAGTTCATCTGCAAGAGCCTCGGCTGCAAGCCCATTGCCGACATCGACTCCTTCACCGAGGATCGCCTGGCCCATGCCGAGCTGGTGGAGGACTCCTCCGATGGCCATGTTGCCAGTGTCCTGCGCATTTCCGGCATCAAGAACCCCGGCCGCACTGTGTCCATCCTCTGCCGCGGTGGCAACCAGCTGATCCTGGACGAGTCGGCCCGGTCGCTGCATGATGCCTTCTGCGTCATCCGGTGCCTGGTCAAGAAGCGCGCCCTCATCCCCGGTGGTGGTGTCCCGGAGATTGAGATCTCCCAGCGTCTGTCGGCCCACGCCAAGACCCTGAAGGGATCCCTGTCGTACGCGGTCCAGGCCTTCGCCGAGGCCATGGAGATCATCCCCTACACCCTGGCCGAGAACGCCGGGCTCCAGCCCATCGGCATTGTCACCGAGCTGCGCAACAAGCATGCCGCCGGTGAGAAGTACGCCGGGATCAATGTCCGCAAGGGTACCATCAGCAACATCCTGGAGGAGAATGTCCTCCAGCCCTTCCTTGTGTCCTTCAGCGCCCTGAACCTGGCCTCTGAGACTGTCCGCATGCTGATGAAGATCGATGACATCGTGCGTCTTGTTGTCGCACCGCCGTGCCTTCCCTGGCCACTTGCCTATATTTCCCCGCTCCCCCCCCCTCTGCCTCCGGTGTTGTGCTGACCATCCGCCGTTGCTGTCTCTGCCCCTCCCCGCTCCTCGCTCCCCGCTCCCCGCTCCCCGCTCCCCCTCTCCTGCCTTCCTGTCTTTCACACTTCAGATCGAGTCCCGCTAAAGACACAGTCTCGCGTGCATACCACGTGTCCTGCTGGCTTGCCCCTTTCCTCTCTCTTCCTTTTCGTCCTTTCCCTACTTCCCCCACTGCACTCCGCTCCCTCTTCCCCCCTCCAGCGACAGACAGCCCTAGATGTGCGTCCCCATGGCCTTCCTCCTCTTTGCCATCGTGTCCCGCCCCTCCCCCCCCCCCTCCCAAAGTCATTCTCGGTCCCTTTCGGATTCTCCTCCTGGCATCTTTGCTCACCTCCCCAGCACCGCTTTCCCGGTCGTCCGTTCTTTGTTGTCCGCCCGCAGCCTCTCTCTCTCCCACTCGAGAAACATCCCCCCTCCGGCTTGCTTGTGTGTGTATCTTCCATCCATCTCCTTGGCCCATCCTTTCTTTTTGGCGAGGAACCAAAACGGATGAGGGCAGGGGCACCTGGCGGAGACCCAGAAGCGAGGTGAATGAAGCTGTGCCTTTCATCTCCGCCTCTGCCGGGGTCGTTTGCGCCATCCCTCCTCCACTTGCTATCGCCGCCCCTCTTCTCCCCTTGCTCACCAAGAGAGAGCCTTCACCGGCGTGTGCCTAAAACAGTGTGTATGCACGCGCGCGCGCTGAGTGCTCCCCCCTTCCTCTTCCCCTCCAAAATAAATATGTCCTTCAGATGTGCTTCTTCCCCTTCTCGCCGTCTTCCCGACCCCGGTGACCGGGGGGTGGGGGGGAGGGCCACATGCTTGGTTGGATTCAATCAGGCGCAGGCGGTGGGCAGCGGTTTGGCCTTTCCTCGTCGGCAGGATCTCCGCCTCATTCACCTTCGTACCCCCCTACACTGGCGCGGCAAGGCACATGGGCAGAGGTGTATTGTGAATCGTTGCCGGTGCGGTATGGGTCCCGGCACAGGGCTACCGGTCGCGCTGGCCAGCATCATCCTCGGTGCCGGGCGGAGCAGGCGCAACTGCTGGGGCCGTCGGGGCCGTTGCTGTCGTCGCCGTTGCGACCGGGCTCGGCGCCCGGTACCCTGCGGCTTCCGCGATCCCGATCGCAAAGTCCAACCGGTCCCGCGCCGAGGAGAAGAGCTGCCGGACCTGTTCGATGGAGTTCTGGGACTCGCCGCGAACCCTGCGCCGGACGGGAGCAGGAAGATGGGGGGGGGGGGGGGGGGGCGCGTGGTCAGTGGTCCTGCCGTGGTGGCAGTCAAAAGGGGGCAGCGCGTGCGTACTTTTGAATGCGTTTCCCCAGCTGACGGCGCTTGGCCGTCTGGTGCCGGAGCATGGACAGGACATTGCGTCGGGCCGCCAGCGGCCGGAGCTCATTCAACAGGTGGTGCATATTTTGCAGCAGGAGGTACAAGCGATCGATGTGCGCCGGGACAAGCTACACATGGGCAGGTGGTCAGTCAAATATCCCCAACACGAAGCGTTGGCGCCCGATTGGGGACGGCAGTCGCGCAACGAGGCGGCATCGTACTGTGGCGGCATCCTTGGTGAGGGTGGTGACCAGATCCACAAACGTCTTAATCAGCTGGCGATTGAGCCGCCGAAGGACAGCAATCTTGTCTAGGAAGAGAGAGGGGGAGGCGTGGGGGAGGGAAGTGGCGTGCCAGCGTGTCAGTGGATTATGACCCCGTGTGGGAGAGGGAGCGATGCCAGGAGGAAAGGACGCACCTTCGTCGTCGGAATAGAGCTGCTGACAGCCGACCTCCGTGAGCTTGGGGATGGTTTGCTTCAGCTGGATGGATGGGATCGGTCGATGTAGTCCGATCGTAAGGCGGCCCGAGAGGGGGAGAGGAGGAGAAGGAGGAGAGAGAGAGAGAGCGCGCGCGCGCGTATACAAGTGACCGAGGGGGTGAGCAAGACAAAAAGCGGGAGAGAAGAAATCCGCCCCCCCCCCCCCCCCTGGATCCAGTCCGCATTCCAGGCCGGGGCAGCGCACCACCAAGGCAGAGCCAAAGACCGGGAGCGGGGTGATCGACGTGTCCGGCAACGGGGGCGGCACGGCAAATGAAACGGGCATCGAGGCGCCCGGGGTCTGGCCAGGGAGCATGCCACTGGACATCGGCGACGGATGGTCACTGATGGCTGACAGGCCCACACTTGGGACCGGGATATGTGGGGAGCCGGCACCGGGTGTCGAGATCGGGGGGTACGAGTGATGGGGGGTGCTGTGCAGGGGGTGGTGCGAGCTGGCAGAGTCGTCGGCTGGAGGGGCCGGCGGGGCCGGCGGGGGAGCAACTAGCTGCGAGTCCGCCTGGAAGGCCGCGTTGAATGCCTCCTCCGTGGCAAAGACCGGCGACTGCCAGTACACCGGCGGGAAGGGCATATTCGGCTGGACCACCGCATTATCCATGATGCGTGTTGGCGGGGGTGCGGGCGTATGTATGTGCTCGCAGGGGGACTTCAGGTACTACGGGAGGGAGGGCGAGAGAAGGGGAGACAGCAAGAGGAGAGATGTCGAGGGGCAGACGGCAGATCGGCGCTGTGAAGCCCAAGGTGGGAGGGGGTGGAGGCGAGGGAGGGCATCGATCAGTGTATTTTCTCTTCTAGTCACAGATCCCCCTGCCTCTTGGCGCGAAAGCCCACCCACCTCCCGGCCAATGCCGGTGCATACATGCTTGCTGGCGGTTCCATCCTGCGCCGCAATACCTTCGTCATCCACCTCTGCGGGCGCACACTCCCTCCCTGCGGCTAGTTTGATCCCTCCCCCCCGCCCCCTCCCCCCTTCCGTCAGTTTGGAGACTGCGGTGGGAGGCGAGAGATATGTCACGCGCAGAGACATCACATGACCCACGCCGGGCGTCGTGCAGTCCGATGCATCTCCCACCAGTCTCGCGGGGCGGGGGGGGGGGGGGGGCGCACCTCTTGAAAGGAGATCTGAGAGGTCTATATTTATTTGAGAGGCAAGGGCAAAGTAAATAGGCGAGGGAGGAGGATCCGCGCTCGGGTGGTTGGTTGTGCTTGGCGCGGGTGGGCGGCGGCCGGGCGCACGCACGTACGCGCACACAAAGACACACGCAAGTACGCGGATACGCGTACATGCGTACACACACACACACACACACACACACACCAAAGGTCACTTGTTGGCGGCCTGGCGGTGGGCTTCCAGTGACTTGGTCCGGCGCCAGATATCCTCACTGAGATGCGTGGCACCGAGGGACATGGCCAAGTACCGAGCAATGGTCAGCTGGTGGCGCAAGGTGTCTGGGCTGGCCAGGCTGGCGGCTTCGCCCTCCCCCAGGCCGGCATCGCCGCCGGCAGCGGCGGCGGCGGCGGCCTGCTGCTGGCGAGCTCGCTCGTTGGCAAATTCCTGGGAAATCCCGGCGACCACATCCTCCGGCACCTCGTACGGGGCAAAGCGCAGGGTAGTCAGGAGGCGCCGGGCGGCCGGCAAATCACCCGGGCCCAGGGAATCCAAGACGTCGGCCGGGGACAGAGCAGCCGGCCCCAGCGGCGGGGTGTCCAGGGCGCTGGTGCGACGCGGGTCACCGGCCACCGAGACGGCGAAGTCGCACGGCACGATGGACCGGCCCTCGGAAAGGATGATGACATTGACGTCGGTCGGGATGTCGATGGTGTTGTAGTGGTAGTTGTAGGAGACCACACTGCCAGCGGCCAGCTGGTGCAGCAGACGCAAGTTGCCCACGCCCGTGGCGTCCAGCTGCCCGGCCTCCAGATGCGTCTCATCCAGCAGGAGGAGGCACCCGCGCGGGAGCTGCAGGCGTCCGCGCGACAGGCGGTTGGTGTCGAAGTTCTTGGTCGGAGCAAGCTGCCATGGAGGGGGTCAGTCTTTTTTTCTTCTTTCTTCGTCCCCCCCTCGCGCCGGCTGGGCAGTCACACAATGGCAAGCCAACAGCAGGCGGGATGATGTGAGCTCCGTACCGCCTCACGGTTCAGCCCCTGCAAGTCCAGGCGCAGGGTTTCGCACAGAGGAACCAACGACTGCACCAGCTGGATGAAGCGCTCGGCCGCCGCACGATCGAGCCCGGTGATGTTGAGCGACAGGCGTCCCTGCGGGTCGATGAGGCCACCGGCTTGCCGGGCGGCCAACGCCTCGGCGAGCTGATCGCACCCGCCCCGGAGGTAGGGGCTGGCCAGCATGGCCAGCAGGGCGTACTCGGCTGCCAGGTGCCGGGCCGCCTCGAAGGCGCCAGGGGCGCTCAGCGCCTCAGCCAGCGAGTGGAGTAGCTTCGCCCGCAGGGCGGGCAACTGGACAGCGGCGTCTGTGGCAGGGGGGGGGGGGGGGGGGCCAAGAGCAGGGAAGGGGGAGGAGGCAGGGAGGCATGGCATGGTATGGCAAGCGGAGGGCGGCGCATCCAGGGATGCATGTCAGCAGGCAATGCGCGTGAGCATCGGCGAGGGCCAGCAGGCGAAGCAGCAGGAGCTCCCTCCGCAGTGGCGCACCGTCATCCAGGAAAGAGCCGGGAACCGGGGTCCCCGGGTCCGGCACACCGGCCGCCGGCAAGAGGGGATTGATGGCCCCGCGAACTACCGGGCGAAAGGCAACCACATGCAGGCGCGGGATGAGCGGCGAATAGGCGGTCCCCTCGGCCTCGGACAGATCGCCGAAGAAGTCACCCTGGTCTGCCAGGCCCGCAGCGCGATCGGTGGCCATGGAGTCCAAACGATCTTGCATGGCCTCGGGGTTGGTGGCCGCAGGCTCCAGCGACACCACCCCGACAAAGTCCACCACGCCATTCAGGACAAGCAGCTCCGAGGAGATGTACGTCTTCACCAGGCAGGCGGCCGCATCGTCCGACGCGTGGACCACACTGCCAGGGAGGGACGAGCCGGTGGCCGACGCGCCGCCGGCCCCAGGCCGGCTGGTGCGCCGAGCAACTGGCTCCGGCACCGGGAAGGAATCGTCCCCCGCCTCGGAGATCGCAGCCGGGGCCGACGCGGCCTGGTGGTGGCGCTTGGTGCTGGTGGCGGCGGCGGCGGCGGCGGCGGCGGCGGCGGCGGCGGCGGCGGCCGTGCCAGGGGGACAAGTTGAGTCGGCCATTTCGGCCATGTCAGCATCCGGGTCATCGTTCCGACGTTTGCGCCCGGCCCCGGGGGCGGGAGTGGCGCCGCCAGAGGACGCCCGAGTGTCACGGTACTCCCGCTGCAAGTGTTCAGTCACCCAGTCCGAGGTGGCCGGGACCGCGGTGCAGAAGAAGGGGAAGCGCTCAACCGGCAGTGCCTCCGACATGTCCTGGTGATCGGCAATCTGCACCAACAGAGCAAGGGAGAAAAAGAGTGAGTGTGTGTGTGTGTGAGAGAGAGCCAGCCACATGCATGGGTTGCGGTCAGACCAAGGCCACCGACGAGGTCAGAAGCCTCAGACCCCCTTCCCCCCCTGGCAACAGCGCCCCACGGAAGGCAACACCCCAGGCATGTACATACCACCAGCTCATCCAACCGGTCACGATAGAGAAGATGCGCGTTTTGCTGCTGGCCGGTGCTCGGATGGGTGGCCATGATGGAGGGCAGCATGAACTCCGTGTTGAGGGTGTCCTGTACGAAGCCGCGGAAGCGCACGAGCGTGTGGTGCTTCAGCGTGTCGATGGTCTCGAAGTTCACCAAAGGGAGCTAAGCATGCCAGGAGAGGGGAGAGGAGCAACAAGACACAGTGAGGAAGTCAGCATCAAAGAGAACGCCAGGAGGCCGCGCGGGTGTGCACGTGCGCATATGTGCGTGTGTAGGCGGGGGCGGGGGGGGGGGGGGGTATCCAACGCACGGAGGCCAGGAGCTCAGGGTGCGCATCGAGGAGGTCGGAGAAGACGCGCTCTACCATGGCGTCCTGGTGGGCGTCCAGCTTTGCCAAGGACGATCGGAAGCTCCCCGGTCCGGGGGCCGGGAGGCCGAGCCCCGGGAACGGATGCGACCGGGAGGCTGGACGAGAGGGAGCATGTCAGATCTCCGCATCAGGAGGGGGGGGGGGGATCGGTGTCACAAAGTGGCGAGGGGCAGGGGCGGGCCGTACTGAGGATCGAGTCGATCAGAGCCAGAGGCGCGGCCTGAACCTGCGCCAGATCGACGCCAGCAGCGGCGCCGGCGGTAGGACGCATGATGTTTCCTTGCGAAGAGGAGGAAGAGGAGGAGGGAGGATCGACAGGAGTGAAGGGCGCGATATGCGGATCCGAGGGGCGGGGTGGCTGACGCGCAATTTTCCCGGGCCTTCGCCGGGGCAGCACTTGGCGACCGCCGCGATCAGCTTTTCATTTTTTTCTAACGGCCAGGGAGCGACCCATGGCGTGGGCAGGTGCCACCGCAGGGGGCGCCCATGGACCGGTGGGACTCGCACCGTCGATCGCCCTTCAAAGACCACAACACCGCATCGGCTCCGACGCTCGAGGGGCAAGGATAGTAGTATGCCCCCTCTCGCCCGCCTGCTCGCCCACCCTGGCGCCCTGTCCCGCCTCGCCCTCGCCCTCCCCCTTTCCAGTGCCCCATCCCTCCCCTAGTGAGATCTCCCTCCCCCCTCTCCCGGTCTCCTGCGCCAAGTTCCTGCCGTCATGAACCTGGCCAGCCGGATTGTCGGCATCGGGGTGGACATCGTCCCCCTGGCTCGGGTCAAGGGGATGGTTGCGCGCCATGGCGCCGAGCGCCTGAGCCGGCGCCTACTGGCTCCGGGGCCCGAGGCCGCCGGGCTGATGCGGCTCCTTGAGGAATTTCAAGCGGATGGCCGGCCAGGCTCCCCCCCGGCCGCGATGCAAGCTCGGTCGGGGACCATACGCGTGCCCTTTCCGGAGGCCGAGTCCAAGCGCATTGTCTCCTACGTCGCCGGCTGGTATGTCCCTGTGACGGGGCAGTGTTTCCCAGCAACGCCGGGGCTGCCAGTTCCTTCCTTGGTGCATTCGAGGCGCATGCCTGCCGCTGACCATCACATCATCCCGCACCACTTGGCCGCTGGGTAGCTTCGCCGCCAAGGAGGCCACATACAAGGCGGCCTTCCCTGCGGCGCTCGTCAACCTCCGCGAGGTCGCCCTCGTCCGGCCGTCAGAGGCCAATGAGCGGGGTACAGGTGTGTTCTTTCTTTTCTCCCTCCCCCCTCCCTGCCCCTCTCTCTTTCTCTCTCTCTCTCTCTCTCTCTCTCTCTTCCACCGAGCGTGATATCCGCCTGACTCGATCCATTTGCTTGGGGCTCCTTTTGCCTCTTTCGCGCCCACTCCCGTCCGATTGCCGGTCGCCAATCTGCACCCCCCGGCCCGGCAGGAAAACCCCTCTTGCATCTGAGTCCGGCACTCTGCCACCAGCTGGGCCTCAGCGCGGGGGCGCCCGATCAAACGGCCATCCCCATCGGTGTGGAGGTGCCGAAACCCACAAAGACGTCCGACTGCGCGGCCGCTGCCCCGGGTGCCGCCGACCGCCAGCCAGGGCCCTGTGAGGGGGCACACGTATCCCTGAGCCACGACGGCGGCATGGTGGTGGCCATGGTGGTCCTGGAAGCTCGCGGCGAATAAATTCCCCCGAATGCCAACGAAGCTGCTGCCTGGGGTGACGACCCAGGGATCGCCGCTCGATCCGCGTCCCCAGGGGGGCGGGGGCGGGGGAGGGGGTGTGGACATGAATCGATCGTTCGTTCTTCAGCTCGCCGTGCGTAGGCCCCGGGGTCCCCGGAGGCGAGAGATCCCCCCCCCCCCCCCTCCCCCCTGCGCCCAGTGCCTGTCACTCGCCCCACAGTTCTCGGCTGGCTGCTCTCGCTCATCCAGCCCCCACCTCATCCCCCCTGCTCTTTTCCCGTCCCACAATGGCCTCCCCTTCCACGGGGCCGACTGTCGACGCCTCTGCGCCGCCGTCCAGCCGCGCTGCCGTCCTTCGGGATGCGGTCCTGCTGCTAATCCTTCTGGCAGCCGGCCTGGCTGTCGTGGCTCTGTCCATCCGGGCCCTGCCGGACTTTTCCCCGTGCGCATGCAGCCCCTCCCCTGTCTCTCTCTCTCCCCCCCCCCCAGCCCCCGCCCTGCATCGCCCTACCTGACCCTTTGGACCAATACCCCTCCCCCGTTCCCCTCCACCCTCGTCCAGTACTGAGGCTGATCAGCTCGGCATTCAGGACCTACGAGTGCGGCTCTTCCTGAAAGACCGCTCCACCAGGCTTCTGTCATGGCTGCCTTGGTGGGTGTCGTTTGATTCTCTGAGTGCGCCGCCCTTCCCCCCTGGGGGGCTCCTCAATTTGTTGGTCTCCTTCTGCCTCCCCTTTCTGCCCCCCCCCCCCCGCCCCTGCTTTCCCGTTCGTCCCGCTCACCGCCCTTCGCCTGCGGTCCAGTGCACTTGCGCATGCTTTCCTCCTCCGGCCGGTTGGGCCCGATCCTGGGCCACTATATCGCCACCAACTACGGAAGCGTGGTCTCCGCCTACATGGCCCTCTATATTTTGTACGACCCATGCCTCTGCCTACCCTCTGCGTGGCGCTGATGACTGACCGAGGCGGATAGCCTGCAAACCTTCGCCATCCCCGGCTCGGCCGGGCTGAGTGTCATCGGCGGGGCCCTTTTCGGCTTCTGGCCCGGGCTCCTCCTCGTGTGTCTGGTGCGCCATGGATTCCCTCGCTCTTGTCCCTTCCTCCCGCTCCGACTCAGGCGTCGACTGGTTGCTGACACTTCCATCGGGGCTCGGCCAGTGCTCGGCTCTTGGTGCCACCGGGTGTTACTTGCTGTCCAGGCTGCTGGGCCGCCATGTGCTGTCGCGCTTCAGCGGCCCGCCCTTGACCACGGTCATTGCTGGCACGATTCACGATCTCAGCGGTGGCATGGTGTCGGCCGATGCCTGGGACCGGTCCCTGTGGGTCGGTCTGGCGGCGGTCCTCCTGTTGCGCATTTCGCCGGTCCCCAACTTCCTGGTGAATGTTGCCTCCCCGCATGCTGGCCTTCGTCTGGTGCCCTTCTTCCTGGGAACCTTCTTCGGTGCGAGCGCGCCCCCGCCTCTGATCACTCCCTTCTTCTCTCTCCCCCC